TGTGTGTGTGTGTGTGTGTGTGTGTGTGTGTGTGTGTGTGTGTGTGTGTGTGTGTGAGAGAGAAAGAGAGAGAGAAATGCTCTTGTACGAGTGTGTCCCTCTCGTGGGTGAGATTCTGGTTCGGGGAACACAATTAGCACACATAGCAGAGTCCATTTGTGCCATTGGGAGAGAAACATTAAAATGTATGTGAGTAGAGGCCTGCTGGAATACCGAGACAGTGTGTGTGTGTGTGTGGCTGTGACCTTGCTCTGCTCCCCGATCTATGTCCAGATCTACCTCTCTTTCTCCATCGCTCTCTCTCTCTTTTCATTATTCCCCCCGCCCTCACTATCAGCAGCCATGGTAAAATAAATAATGCATCAAAACACATTAAAAACATTAGCTGGGCTTTACTGCCAATATAAGAGGAGGATGCTGGGGATGGAGAAAAATAAGGAGTGAGTGATCAGGTCTGAAAAAGAAGTGAACTTTATGAAGTGAGAACCCCGAGAGCTGTTGGTCTGGACCAGAGCCAGGACGCCACAGGTGCGCTGACCAGGTGCACTGTGGGTATTTTTCTGTCGCAAATGAGTCATTGAGACCAGTAAAATATGCAGTTGGAAGATGACTTTAATAATGCATAAGCAAGGACGAGCACAGAAATGCACATGCAAACTTTTATACTCTCTTTCCAAGGTTTGTTATAGCTCCATACTTTCTTTTTCTCATCCATTCTCCTTCATATCTTGTATTTATACAGAAGTTTAGGGTAAGTTTAAAAAAAAAAAATACTTCTATTCAGCAAGACCACATTAAATTGATCAAAAGTGACAATAAAGACATAAATGATGTTACAAAAGATTTCTGTTTTAATTAAATGCTGTTCTTTTGAACTTTCTATTCAACAACGAATCCTAAAAAAATGCATCACTTTTTCCACAAAAATATCGAGCAGCACAGCACAGTTATTGATGATAATAAATGTTTCTAATATGCAAGTCAGCATATTAGAATGGACTGGAGTACTGATGCTGAAAATTCAGCTTTGCCATCACAAGAATAAATTACATTTTAAAATATATTCAAATAGAAAACTGTTCTTTTAAATGGTAATGATATTTCAAAATGTTACTGTTTTTACTGTATTTTTGATCAAATGCAGACTTGGTGAGCATAAGAGACTTCTTTCTAAAACGTTAAAAAACTTACTGACCCCAACTTTTGAACAGTAGTGTAAGTTTTCAATAAAACATTATTTTATGAAGCATTAAACATTAAAACATATGTAGTAGTTTATTATTGCCATTGTATTACTGTAAACTGTTGTATCATATTTAGTTAAGTTAGTTTTCTGTTTATTGTTACCGAATGTTGTCATATAATAATGTAGAATAATGGGGGGGGGGACGTGTATTAATTTAGCAGATGCTTTTGTCCAAATTGAATTAAAAATGAGGGGAAAATACAATAAAGGAGTCAATAATGTTTGCGGTGAAGTTACTCTATTGTAAGATTTTATTGAAAAACATTAACTGCATTTTTATGTCACTTTTTCTGTTGAATGAAAACAGCTTACTGAAGAAAAAATAATAACAAAAACAGCATGGTATTTTCATGATTTTCATCAAATATAAAACACTGCATTCCTTATTTAAAAATGAAATGAGTAATTATTAACTAAAAATTAATTCAAGGTTGCAAAGACATGAAGTACTTAAACTACAAATAAAATAATTATCTGTGGTCACATGGCAAGGCAGAAGATATGCACCTTTTTTATTAAACCAAAAATTGCAATGTCATAAGAAGAGATATATTTCTGGAGCCAGGGAACATTTGACTTGATTTGATTTGATACATTTGACTTGTACTGTACACTGCTATTATGCTTCCCCTATTTTTGGCTTATATCAGCCGAAGATACTTTTTCCTGTTTCTACGGTGCAGACAGTGAGGGGGGGGGTGTAGGAGTAACGTAGAAAAACATACCTGCTATGTCACAACTCATTTTCGCGAGTAAACTGCTGCAGATGAGCGATAGAGAAGTGGGGTTTGTGTCTTATTTTGGGGGCAGTGCCCTGTGCCTCCTCAGAGGTCGTGACTGTCTGTATGGCCTATGCCAGGATCCTCCACTGCGTACGGGTCCCTTCTCCTTCCTGCTGGTAACGTGACAATTGGCATTATTAAAAATGGATTGCCGCAGACCGTTCCATGGCTTACATGTATTATTGAGCCGGAGTCAGTCGGGAATCTGCCACGAGTGAAGGAAGCAGAACGAAACACTTTATGATGCTGAGTGTCTTTTATTGAGACCTCACACACTCAAGTGCCACTCACACACATAAACAGAGATGTATGCAAATGTGTAGCATGCTCTGACATGCGTTTCTTTTAATACTTCGTTCTGAATTGCTTTGTGTGTCTGATGTTTACTCTGTTCTGTTGTAAAGCTGTAAACTAGTCATTCTAAGAAACATTTGCCTTTTCCTTTTTTTTTTTTTTTTTTTTGTAAAAATGCAATATTCTTCTGTATTATCCTATAAGACAAAAAATATTTTTACGTGCTAATACATTGCATCACATCATCTCAAGCTAAATATGTGACCCTGGACCACAAAACCAGTCTTAAGTCGCTGGGGTATATTTTTAGCAATAGCCAAAAAAACATTGTATGGGTCAAAATTAGCGATTTTTATTTTATGCCAACGATCATTAGGATATTAAGTAAAGAATAAAGATCATGTTCCATGAAGATATTTTGTACATTTCCTGCCGTAAATATATCAAAACTTAATTTTTGATTAGTAATATGCATTGCTAAGAACTTCATTTGGACAACTTTAAAGGTGATTTTCTCAGTATTTTGATTTTTTTGCACCCTCAGATTCCAGATTCTCAAATAGTTGTATCTCGGCCAAATATTGTCCTATCCTAACAAACCATACATCAATGGAAAGCTTATTTATTCAGCTTTCAGATGGTGTTTAAATGACAATTTCGAGAAATTGACCCTTATGACTGGTTTTGTGGTCCAGGTTTACATATGTTGAGATATTCTATGTTGGGGTGGAACACTGCTGGAGCTCACCTGTTATGGTTATGGTATAAAGTTATGGCTTTCTATTTACTTAAGCTTTCAGTTGACTTTTCTATAAATAGCAGGAAAAAAGTAAGCAATTTTGTCTGCCTATTTCATGTGCCAGGGTGGATGTGTTATGCTTGAGAAATTGTGTCAAGCATGAAAGAACAACAATTTATGAATATTAAATTAGATGAGAACTTTCCAACTTTGAACTTGGCTCCTCAAAACTCAAATGATGTCACTTCCTCTTCATTATGTCAAGGAATTATTTTGAGGCAAATGGTGGAGTGACGGGGAAAATCTAAATTCATGGAGAGAAGTATTGTTGTTGAAATCAATTTTTCTTAATTAATCTCATTTAAATATATGAATCATTAATTATTAGAAAACTATTTTAATATAAATTAGATTTTTTTTTTTTTTTTTTACATTTTGACTATGGGTATGTGAAATATGAAACATATTTAAGCTTAAATTAATTCAATTTCATTAATTACGATGACTGGGCATGTAAAAATCATCACATAAAATAATATTTTATAAGCTGATCATTGAATTTTAATCATTCAATTTGATGACTGCACATGTAAAATCATCATTATGATTCATTTTGAATAAACATTTAAGATTATTCTTTATTTTTTATTTTTTTTAAGAATTTTGATGACTGTATGGGCTTGTAAAAATTACAGGAAATAATAGATTTTTCGTAAATATTTAAGTTTATGATTCATTTTGAATTACGTACAGTAAGCTTAATTTTTTTAATTTTTAAAGAATTTCAATCTATCACATGAAATAATGCTTTGAAAAGATTAATTTCATAATTTTGAATGAACATATTTAAGCTCGCAAAATACTTACAAGCAGCTTCTTTGTGGGCATTTCATCAAACGTATGGACACAAATGGTACTGGAATGGCTCATATACAACCGTATTGATACTAACTGCAATTGTGAACACTTCACTTGAATAGTTTTTGTTCTCAGCTACAAATCTAATGTCTTTTCTTGTCTTTTTCTGTCTGTACTGTCTTTTCCCCTCCCTCGTTCTTCTCTCTCTGTTGCACAGATGAACAGGCCAATCCAGGTGAAGCCAGCTGACAGTGAGAGCAGGGGAGGTAGATTTCCACTTCTCTTTTTTCTTCTTCCCTTCCTATTTCTCCCCCCACCTTCCTGTCACTCTAAATCAGTGTCACCATTACCGGTAGATGTCCCCTTCTTAAGTGTCATATATAATGACGCACCTCGATGAGACCTGACAGTCATACAGGGCCCCAGAGGATCTTGGGCCGGCCCTCACACGCCTTACATAAGTGACGGTCACTCTGATTATTACCCTTCACTGAGGTGCTAGGAGAGCTACGTTTTTTCAGTTTTAGTGTTTTTGTATGGACATATACTGTTGTATGAAAGAGTAAAAATTGAGTTTTATGGTAAATTTAAGACTAAAAGTGTAAATTGGAAAACAGATGTTTTATTATGTTTAGTGTTAGTATTGTATTTATGGCTTCTCAAGACTTAAATGAAGTCACTTCCTTTTCATTATGTCATTTAAAATGAATTATTTCAAGTGGTGTGATGGGAAATACAAATTCATGGAGAGAAGAATTACCATTGTTAAACTGAATTTTAATATGATATGAATTTTCAATTATTAGAAATCTCTTTTAAATATTAATTTGGTTATTTGTTTATTTTGATTATCTATGGAAGCTTATTTCTGCCATGGTATTTCTCTTACAATTCAGATTTTTTTTCTCTCAATTCTAAATTTACAAGTTGTGATTCTGACATTTTTTTCTCAGAATTCTGAGTTTTACATGACACAATTCTGTTTTTATTTCCTCCACAGAATTAAAAAAAAAGGTAATTGCGACGTTTTAATTCATAATTGAGAATTCTTACTTTTTTTTTGCAATAGCGAGTTTATATCTCGCAATTCTGACTTTATATGTCTCTATTTTTTTCTCAAAATTGTGAGAACAAAAATAGAATTTTGAGATTTAACCTTTGTGAGAGAAGTGTCAGAGTTGTGATATAAAATGTAGCAATTACCATTTTCCATTTTTTATCCTGTGGCAGAAACAAGCTAATTTATTTATTATGATTATGGGTGTATATATATATATATATATATATATATATATACAGGGTTTGAAAATAACACCCGACAACTCTCCAA